AGTCAATATGAAATGTTATTTCCATACTTCAATACTTTCTATACAATTCGACCCGAAGCATATGACAATCAGAACCTTCCTAAGTCAAAATTGAATCGCACCCAGACAGGAGCGAATAGTCAATATAAGGTTGAAGAGGGAAGGAAATCAAGAGCACGGCGAACTGCAAACGTAAGCAAAAAGCCGGGAACAACACCAGCCCAGCAACAGCGAGTGGGGCTTCGACAGGCCATAAAGTAGAATAATAACTCCCGGGGTCAGGGGACACAAGAAGAAGCAGGCAGACAAAAACCAGAACTGACTCCAAGGTTCAACCGCCCTCACCTACTCAGGGGTGACGGAAATTAATGAGGCCTTGAATTAACGGCAGGCAACAACAACGGCGAGCAGAGATAGGGTGGGGCAAAGACTGCGGGCTAGGGAATGCAACTTCGTGTCAGTAAAGCCCTGACAAACAAGTTAAGTTAAAGACATCACAATACATAATATCGCACATAACATCAATGTTAACGCTATTCACCGTAAACTATATTCCGCTTATATAACCATCCAGGCACCAAGGAATACGAATTCCTAGGATCAAGAAACTTACCCCTTAACCTAAGATATCGGAAATAAATTAATAGTAATAAGTATATGCATGAAAGACAAAAGTTAAACTTATGGAAAAGCCAGGATAACGGGATGAATCACCACCAGGTCGAATATAAATACATAATAAAAAAAAAAACAATGTTAAACCCAGGGTCGGAGAGAAAGGGAGATCCCGGCCGTCTTTGTATCCCCGCAGCGCGGGATAGGAGTGTGTGTACGCTCGGGGAAACACCTACACTTGGGTCGGGAACCACGATGGGAAACGACAGACCTTAGGTTACATACAGAATCATAACTGTGAAATAGTAAGGGACAAATGTTAACTTAAAACTTTTAACCATTTCTTTGTGCGCCGGGTCGGAGAGAGTGTTGCCCCTCCCCCCAGGTTGTGCAACACGAACAAAGACGCCTATGAGACGATTTGTAACGTCTGTGTTTTGGGTTCATGAAGAAGGCCAGACAAGAGATAAATTGCACCCAGACAGAGAGACGACTTCGAGACAATTTGTAACATCTGGTTGTTTGCTCGTGGGTTTTATGGAGGGAGTTGACAACGGAATATACCGTCAGTGATGCACACAAGGACATACGGACACACACATGGACACACCTGCCTACGGACAGATCCTGACACAGCAAAAATCGGAAGCCCCGCCTTGTGGGCGGGATCCAGGGGGATTTTTCAGCATAAAGGAACGGATCCTGAACATTGGAAACCAGTGCGACGGGAGGGTCCACTCAGAAGCTCGACCGGGAGGGTCGACTCAGCAGGAGTGCGACGGGAGGGTCCACTCAGAAGCTCGACCGGGAGGGTCGACTCAGGAACGAGTGCGACCAGAGCGGGTCCACTCAGGAGTGCGACCAGAGAGTCGACTCAGGAGCGAGGGCGACCAGCGGGTCGACCCAGGAGCGAGCTCGACCGGGAGGGTCGACTCAGGAGCGAGCTGCGACCAGCGGGTCGGCTCGACTCATCTTCAGCTCGTCAATCTCTGCTGCCGCCGGAGATCTCCGCTGCCGCCGGTGGTGAGCGTCGCGACTTGGCGACGATCCAGCGCTGCACGCTACGAGCGAGTTGTGGGCGCCACCTACCGACCGGGTTCCGAACTGCGACAGCGTATCAACAGCCATCCGAGCAATTCACCACGGTGACAGGGGAGCGCCTGATACGTATGACGCGCACCGCCCCCTCACCACACGACCACCAGGCGTCTGTTTGACATAAAGAATCGACTCCGAACACTGACTATTCAAGACAACTCTTACCACTCAAACACTCGAACCCATAAGTCATCCGTGGCTGGGAAGGCATCACAACGAGACCGAGTGGTGGCCATCCGTCGTATAAGAGTATTCTTAATTTTTATCTTTAATATTTAGTGGGCTGTACTCTTAATCGCATAAATTCCCAACAGATCCATCAATACGAACTGATTCTTGGCACCTCCTTCCGCCGAGCCACGCTCACGTGGGGAGTGGTGGCCCACCGGATCCTTATCAGGTGATCTGGTCCCCAATTAGTAAACTTGGTATAAGATAACGATCTTCGGAAAAGGAGCACCGTCGCAGGCCCTTACTCCGAGCCGTTCTGCTGTCAGATAACCTGCCGATGTATCTGTTGAGATTGGTGCCTTTAAGAATAGTAACTGTTTTGATTGTGTTTTTTTTTTTTCGCCGTATAATCTTTCAAGTATCCTTCAGTCATAATCGCCGCACGTACTCGCATCCTCTACAGAATATTCAACTGTTCCGTGACCCAAGGTGTTAACAACGTGATAAGGGTTGCGTATGATCAATAAGGAGTGCGGTACTGCGTGAACAATATTGAGTATAATCATTCATTAACGTTAAGGTTTTCTTAGCATGATATTTGCATGTTTTAACGACTCTCTCTCACTAAGAACCATCGCGTTATGCGGGATCCATGTGCCGTTGTCAAAGTGAAATCAGACAATCGTTGATGATACTGTATTGATGCCGTATTGACGTTCCGGGATTGAGAGTTCGCATACTATATCATAGTTATAGTTGAATTAGTAATAAATTGATCAATACAGAAGTGGTTGTGTGATTCTTTCCTGAAATCTATGCATAAGATCTGTTTCTGCGTTGAGATTTGAACTTGGTGACCTTAATAAACACACTAATACATACTCAGTAAACGTTAAAGCGATAACGGGGTGAACCGGGGTCTGGTTATCATAACGACTTGCATTATCATAATTACACCCACTCGCATAATTAATACGATTACCTCTCGAATTGGCATAATTAAAATGTGCGTAATTACATAAATTAACATATTTCCGGGTAATTACACATTTGGCCAAATTTCATTTAATTATTATTATTTCCACTGAATATTCATAACCCACATATACAACATAATAATTTCACCCACGCACGCATACAACATAACAAATTTTCATACCCAACATATACAACACCGTACAATCTTGGTGGTCTGGCTGCAGAAGGTTTCAACGAGAACTGTTTGGTCTGATCAATTAATGCGGTTGAAGCAGAAATGATGTTGTTGGTTTTGGAGACGAGGCTGTTGGTGGGGTCTCTTTTTATTTTTGTATAGCTGCCATCGTTTAGTAGTTCTTGAATTTTGTTGTTGTATTCTATTTTGTCCATGATAAAGCTGACCTGAAACACGGTAGGACTAACACCTCAGCCGTGGCAGATCACTGTTACAACTCAGTGGGCTCACATGATATTGACTTCTCCAAGACAGAGGTTCTCTGCAAGCCATCTGGCTATCATGAGAGATTCGTTCATGAGGCGATCCACATATACAAACACAGAGACAACTTTAACCGAGAAGATGGATTCTGGCTCAGCAATCATTGGAAGGACGTAATAAACCATTTCGATACACATTAGGGTGTGTAGAATAATACATAGTGTGATATTGAATGTATAAGATATAGGTTGGTTTACAGCAATACAGTATATAATTTAATGTTGGGTTTATCTATGGCAGTATATAGTACGGTATATGCTCGTGTGATGTAAGAGAATAAGGTTTAGATGGAAGCGTATTATAGAATTTTTACGAGGTAAAATTGTAATGTATTACTTGCTGTTAGTAACTCAGCTTATTATAGAGTATAGTAAGTATACTGATGGTGCGATGCAGTTTATACTTTAGTTTTTTATGTAGTTTATACTTTAGTTTTCTACGTGGTTGTTGAGTAACTGCAGCTACATATCATTAACATTCCTTTCCTTTGTTACTGCTAATCCCTGCACCCCCCTTGGTTGCTGCTGATCCTGCATAATGCATGGGCATAATATGACTTTGACACCCCCCCGCCCAACGCCTACGCATTTTCCATGAATATGCTAAATCCCTCTTCACATGCACATTCTTTTTGTTAAGGCGCTCTTCAACCCCCAATGCAGCTTATATATAAGCTCCTAGTTTGGTAGTGTCTCATTCTTCACCTGAAGACGGCTGCTTGCGTTGTAGCCGAAACGTCGTGAGAATTGTTTTATTATGTTTTATTTTTATTATTTTATTACTTCCCTTCTACGTGACTTTACCGAAAGAAACAAGAAGATGAATCCCTGCAGTCACGAAAGCTTTAAATCGAAACACTAATTTAGATTAATTTTCATTATTAACTATTTGATTATTTACATTTACTAAGGTCACCTTTTATTTATTCCATGAAGGAGCATTTTGCTTCTGCATGGGAGAATGGAGAAGCATAAATTTTGTAATTTTTTTTAATGAATGTAATTAAACATTTTGATTTAAATTATTCTACCAGGGCTTTTCATTCTGTGGAATTAGTGTGATTGTTATAATTGTACTCTCCATTTTGCTTCGTTCTACCACAAAGTTTCAAGTATTTTTTTATAGTTATAATTATTTTTAATAATTTATAATAAGAGAATTTCTATATCATATTCTGAACATCTGCAGTTTTAGTTAGACGTTGAATATTTTCAAGTGAATTTTATGCTAAATTTCAGCTTCCCAACGCCTCCTTTTTAATGTTTTCTCCTACAACATCAGAGTGCAGCGCCACATTAAATACGCACTACAATGGCAATAGTTTAAAGCGATTTGAAGCATGTTTTATTATCAAAATGTAAAGATGGTTTGTGGGGGGGGCAAAGCTTTGTGACGTCATATTTGAGGGGGGTCTGACTTTTTGTGACGCCGTGTGACGGGGGGGGGGGGTCAAAAATCGGCCAAAATCGCGTGACGTCATTCATGGACGGCCCCTAAAAATGTAACTAAAAATAAAAGCAAAAAACCCCCGACGTTTCGATCGCAACACAAGCAGTCTTCATCAGGCGGAGAGAAAAGAAGACCGCTTGTGTTTTTATTGTTTAAATCTTTATTTTGTATCTACCGAAATAACCAAAGAATATCCCTCGTGTAGCCTTACCAGACTGTTGGGGCAAGTGCTGTTAGCGAGCACCTACGAAGGCCAGAACGGCACACGGGGGGGGGGGGGTGGCCAACATCACGCCCGGCCGCCTTTGTCTCTCCCCCAGTGGCGATGTTGAACTTCACAACGCTACAAAAGACGCACAACCACGCAGAGATACGGAGGCCTGGATTCTCTGTATCTGTGCGTGACGTCACCCAACCCAGTCCGTGACGTCACTCATTGCGTCCACAGGCCCCTCCCCCCGGGCGGTGGTAACATGACGTAACGCACACAGGCGCGATTGACGACACGACGTCAGTGACGTCAGTGGCCAGGTTGTGCCTCCAAGCACTTGAGGGGTGGACAAAATAACAGAGAGTGGCTCTTAGAATGATGGGGGCATTGGGGCATGGCGGTGAGGTGTGGGAAGCTGTGAACCCCAGGCTACTGTGGGCTTTGCTTCTTCATCAATGGGAGGCAAGACATGGTGGTGGTGACTTACGCCCAACAAAGATGAACATCAGTCAACGCTGATGAGTTTACATGACCTTTATGACCTCCTGTGCTGGCTAGATAGGTGACTCTATAAATGGGTGCTTTGGCACGCGGCTCAACGTTGTGATGATTAGCATATGTTGTATAAAGTGTGATTTTCTTAGTTTAGATTGGACCAAGGGCAAAAACAAATAGCAAGTGTTCATCCGGTGGCTTAGTTTGTTGTATTTGTGTACTTTCTTGAAACGTAAACCCAATAGTTTGTCAGTTAAAAAGCGTTACATGGCAGGCATGGACACAGAGAGACAGACAGCCAAAACAATTGACTTGATCGTATTTGTTACAGTTCAGTATTACATGCAAATGTACGACGTTTCCTCTTAATTTACGAGGTGTTAACAGTGCATTAACCTTTTTGTTGCGTTGAACCGTAACACGTTTCACAACACCGACCATGCGGGCATTGAAATATGGCGCTGTACACGACTTACGAACCGTGCAATGTTACAAACGGAGGGCGGGGTCAGATGGAGCTCGTGAAGGTGGTGGGCAGAGGGGTGACTCGGTGGAACCCGACATGTCACGGACGTTTGTGCATGCGCCTCTTCCCCCTGTTGCGAGAAGCCGGGAGCTCAGGCTGCGAGCTGTGGCCGGGCGTGAAGATGGAATCCTGCGGCGAAGATCCTGGCCTCTCACCCAGTCGCTCGCGAAGCAGCAAACCGAGGAAGGCGCCGGCTGTGAGACCGGCGCGGGCGTGAAACTAAAAAGCGGAGGTCGAGATTCGACCGTCTCCCCGTTGAGTGTGAAGTGAGGGGGGGACGGGCGTCTTGCGTGGAGTAGGACATTCTATCGATGGTCGAGCACGACCGAACGTGGCCACAATGCATTCCTCCCGCCCGCGAGACCGCGCCGTTTGTGAATTACCAACGGAGTCGTCCGAGAAAAATTAAGTGGCAGCAAATTTGCTTCGCTGGACAAGCTGCAATCTCAACCGGCTCTGCCACAAGCTTCTGAGAACTTATTTAGTATTTGTTGTTGTTTCCCTTCCCCTGAAGTGCGTGATGTGAAGCCTCCCCAAGGTGCACCACCGGTTACTCGTCGAATACACATACGCTACCATAATCGTGTAAGTTCTAATGAGTCTAGACCAGTGGTTTTACTTCTTAACCTGCGGTGCACACCTGGGTGCGAGATGCCCTTTTCTGGGGGTAGCGAGACATGGCAGAATCTTTTTAAGAAGGGTAAATCATCGAAACAGACTCAACACTACCCATAGACTCAACACTGTCTACAGACTTAACACTCATTCACCCACTCACCTATTCCCCTGTCCAATCCCATGAGAGCAGTGGTTATTAAACTGGAGTGCACGCACCACCTGAGGGTGCGAGATTCCCTTTGTTGGGGGTGTGCGAGAAATGGGCAGGTTTATTTTTAGACGGTAAATAATCAAAAACACAAATTAAGCACGGGCACGTAAGTAAACAACTTTGTTCCATCAAGCCCTGCATATTTATTAACATACTTTTTTACCATTGAGAACCAACGGGGTGCAGTGAAGGTTAATAACCACCGCTCTAGAGTGTTTACCAAAGTTTAAAGTGCGTTGCACGTTATCCATCCATGCCTGTTGCGTCGCCCACACCTCCAGATCGCCAAAGGTCCCAAAAAGGTGTTGATTCAAAATTTGGTTTGGTGCCTTCTCCGCCTTTGGGTGACATGGTGGCGAGATGTTAACTACCTCGTCTGGTATACAGGAGGTCGTGGGTTCAATCCCAGCTCTGACATGGCCTGCTGTATATTTGGAATTTGCACGTGTCTCTCTCCCCGTGGTTCGCGTAGATTTATCCCCAGGTCCTCCGGTTTCCACCCCCCCCTCCCCCCCCGACATTTAGAATCAACATCACCAGGCGTTTAGAGAGTATTTGGCTGCTGATATAAGTGTCCACGTGATGATAGGCCACTTCGTTGAGGTATCATTTGTGATGGCCAGGTCACTTCTGTTAGACTGAGCAATAAAACAATAGGCTAACTCTTCATAGTAGCGCGACAATACACGATAGGATAAGTCCTTAAAAATAACAGTATTCATACGGAACCGCGCGAAAAAAACATGTGCCCAATGGCAAAAGTGGACATCAATGAATTAATTGGTAAGATTATGAGTGTGTGTTTGGCTAACAGATGCTTATCAATTGACTAATGGGACATCAATGAATTCGCGGGCAAAATTCCGTGATTAAAATAAATATCTCAAAACAATAGTATTCGTGTGTGTAGATTCGTAACATAGATGCTTATAAATGTTTAGTGTGTCATCAATGAGTTCATTGGTAATATTACGTGATAAAAGAAAACTAATGACTAAAATACTTCTAAATGACCGTATTCATGCATATATTATGAGAGTGTTTTCTGTTTGCATGACATGATTCCTTGTAAAAGGTTTCAGTTTGGTGTTTTAACATCTTAACCCCTGTTTTGTTGCTAGAAAAAGGGGAAAACCTATTCTCATAATGACCAAAATACTTCTAAACGACCGTATTCATGCGGTTCAAAGGACAGAACAATGCTTTTCACGACTAGCGAATAGTTAACACACCACCTGGGGATGGCAACCCTTTTCGAAACAAAACTTCTTGGAACAATCTTATTCATACCGATATGCGCGTTGTATGTGTGTGTTGGACCACAGTCACCACGAGGTCCAATAATTATAGCGGGCAGTATGGTTTGAGTTATCCACATACTATTCCTGCTAACTGTCCTGCTGAGGTCAAAGGTGAACTTCGTAGTGCAGCGTTCCTTGTACCGAAAATACGTCAGGTTCCCAGCGTGTGTGTCTCGAACACACGGCGTTCTCGGCTGCGCCGTCAGTCTCTCTCCACCGCTGGGGTGGTTGCTGAGTCGCTACGCTGCTCATGCTGGCGGCAGTGCCCGTGCTGGCAGAAATGATGGGTCCGGCTCCTACTGCGTTGATGTGCGCGATGGTCCCGTCGCAAGATAGCGCTCGCAGCTCCTCCGCTGGGTGGCAGCGCGTCACCCCCTTGGCTCCAGACACTGTTGATCCTTGAGCTCGACCTTTGCTGGAGTGTGCTCGGGGCTTCCGATTAAGCACGCCCAAGGATTAACTGCGCGCCCAGATCGATTAACAGTTGGAATGCCTGTGGCCCCGTCGCTCCTCGTCTTGGCAGCTTGCTTCGCGCGAGCATCCTTTGTGCCCCCCACCCTTGCCCCAGGAGGGATCCTGCTGTGAGCTGCTCGTCGGCTGCTCCTCACTCTCCAAAACTCATAAAATGTATTTCTACACCTCTTAGCTTCTCACAACTCTTATAGCTTAGTACAATACAACTTATCGCAGTCCTTGACTCTGCAAGCGACTAAAAACAAGGATAAATGTAGAATAAAACTTTCAGCGATACTCCGTCTGTCAGCGCCGAACTCAATATTTAGCAACACATTGCCCCTCTCTGCAAGACTCGACACCCATGTATGATCGAGGACCATACCCCGTAGCTTGCCGTTGCAAGACTGATTTGGATGGTTCGGCTTCTTTGTTATTTCCGAAATGTTTCACCTCGGCTCGTCTTCTCACAAAGGACCGGAATTCCTTTCATTTCGCTCCTCGGTCTGTGATTGGTCGGTTTCCTTTGACGACGGAAGAACTGTCCATTTGATTGTGACCGTTTGTCCGGTGTACGTGCGTGTCTGTCTGTTCTAATTTTTTGAAGTCATTCCCTAAATCACATCAAGGCCCGACCCCTTTCCCCTTCTTCCAGCAGTCATCTCATGGCCTGTGGACACAGATGCTCTTAATTTCCCCTAAGTGTGGTTCCTTTTGGCCTTTTTTTCGAGGGAGGAGTTCCCAGGTATGCATCACTGCATTTTTTAACGCGCTGAATCCATTTTTATAAGAAAATCTAATAAATAAAAAATAGGCAATATCACTCTTAATATGTTTTTGGAAAAGGAATATATACAACAATGAGCTTCTCGAGTGTTTAATCTCTGCTCCATGAGGCTTGCCCACTCTGCTTAGCCCACATCCTCCACCAGAGCCACCAAATTAACAAAGGTCCCATTTGAGGACTCGCTCTCACTCGACATGCTTGCTTGGAGCCTCCTCCTTCACTCTTCCCACGTAGACCTCAACATCCATTCCTAAAACAGAGACTCGGCCTCCAGTGTGCCACCTTCACTCCAGCCGCGTCTCACAGCCGGGGCTTTCTTCCCGTTCCTGCTTCACAATCGAGAGGGGAACTGAAAAATCTTCCCCACCACATTCTACCTTCACCCCTGTCCATGTCTTGGAGCTGGTGATCCCTTCGCGCTCCCGCTTCACGATCGGCAGGGAGGTGGAAGGATCTTCACCGTCGCATTCCACCTTCACCCCCGGCCAAGTCTCGAAGCTGAGGGTCTCTCCGTGTTCTGATGTTAGCGATGCCGAAGGGGTCGCTAAGGGGGTCACTGAGGGGATCGCCCAGGGGGTCGTTGCGGGACCCTTGCCCCCGAGGCTCGCCACGACCTGCCCAGCGGCAGTCACGCCCTCGTGGAGCCCGGCACTCTTGCGGGCGCTGCGGCGGAGGAGGGGGGGACGGGCCGGCGGCGTCGACGCGCTCGAGCCCGTGCGGGCCTGCCGGCGCGCCCGGAGGCTCGCCGACCCAGAGGAAGCCTTCCCACCTGCGTGCGTCCTCTTGTGCACGTGGAGGGTGCCCAAGTGCGTGAACGAGCTGCCGCACACGTCACACGCGTACGGCTTCTCGCCCGTGTGGGTGCGCTTGTGGATGCCCAGAGTGCCCGACTGGGCAAAGGACTTGCCGCACGTGGAGCACTTGTAGGGCTTCTCGCCCGTGTGGGTCCTCGTGTGTATGACGAGGCCCTTCGACTGGGCGAATCGCTTCCCACACACCGTGCACCCATAAGGCTTCTCTTCCGCGTGGGTCTTCTCGTGGTTGAAGAGCGTCCCCGACTGCTTGAATGCCTTGCCACATGTGGCGCACCTGTACGGCTTTTTGCCCGTGTGGACCCGCTTGTGGGCGACGAAAACGGCCGAGTGAGCGAACGTCTTGCCGCACACAGTGCACGCGTACGGCTTCTTGCTTGTGTGGATCCTCTGGTGGTTGAGGAGGTGGTGCGACTGAGTGAAGTCCTCCCCGCAGACATTGAAGCAGTAGGGCCTCTCGCCCGCGTGGTTCCTCTCGTCTGGTGAGACGTCTCCTGGCGGTGGGGCGAATGCCTTCCCGCGTGGCGCCTGCTTCATGTGCACGCTCTGATGGAAGCATAAGTCTCTCGAATTCAGGAAAACTTCATCACACACCGAGCACTTAAAGGAAGAATCCTCCCCCCCACATTCTACCTTCACTCCTTGCCACGTCTCAGAGCTGGCGATCCCTCCGTGCTCCCGCTTCACGATCGGCAGGGTGGTGGAAGGATCTTCACCGTCACATTCCATCTTCACCCCCGGCCATGTATCGAAGCTGAGAGTCTCTCCGTGTTCTGATGTTCGCGATGCCCAAGGGGTCGCCGAGGGGGTCGCCGAGAGGGTCGCCGAGAGTGTCCCCGCGGGACCCTCGCCCCCGAGGCTCGCCACGACCTGCCCAGCGGCAGTCACGCCCTCGTGGAGCCTGGCCCTCCCGCCGGTGCAGCGGCGGAGGAGGGGGGGATGGGCCGGCGGCGTCGATGCGCTCGAGCCCACGCGGGCTTGCCGCTGCGCCCGGAGGCTCCCCGACCCGGAGGAGGCCTTCCCGCGCGTGGGGCATGCGGAGGGCCTCCCGCCCGTGTGCGTCCTCTTGTGCACGTGGAGGGTGCCCACGTGCGTGAACGAGCTGCCGCACACGTCACACGCGTACGGCCTCTCGCCCGTGTGGGTGCGCTTGTGGATGCGCAAGGTGTCCGACTGGGCGAAGGACTTGCCGCACGTGGCGCACCTGTGAGGCCTCTCGCCCGTGTGGGTCCTCGCGTGTCTGACGAGGCCCTTCGACTGCGCGAATCGCTTCCCGCATGCCGCGCACCCGTAGGGCTTCTCTTCCGCGTGGGTCTTCTCGTGGTTGAAGAGCGTCCCCGACTGCTTGAATGCTTTGCCACACGTGGCACACCTGTACGGCTTTTGGCCCGTGTGGACCCGCTTGTGGGCGAGGAAGACGGCCGAGTGAGCGAACGTCTTGCCGCACACGGTGCACGCGTATGGCTTCTTGCTTGTGTGGATCCTCTGGTGGTTGAGGAGGTGGTGTGACTGAGTGAAGTCCTCCCCGCAGACGTTGCAGCAGTAGGGCCTCTCACCCGCGTGGTTCCTCTCGTCCGGTGAGATGTCTCCTGGTGATGGGGTGAATGCCTTCCCGCTTCGCGCCTGCTTCATGTGCACGCTCTGATGGAAGCATAAGTCTCTCGAATTCACGAAAACTTCATTGCACACCGAGCACTTAAAGGAAGAATCCTCCCCCCCACATTCTACCTCCACCGCTGGCCACATCTCAGAGCTGGCGATCCCTCCGTGCTCCCGCTTCACGATCCGCAGTGTGGTGGAAGGTTCTTCACCGTCGCATTCCATCTTCACCCCCGGCCATGTCTCGAAGCTGAGGGTCTCTCTGTGTTCTGATGTTAGCGATGCCGAGGGGGTCACCGAGGGGATCGCCGCGGGACTCTCGCCCCCGAGGCTCGACATGACCTGCCCAGTGGCAGTCACGCCCCCTACCATCCCGCGGGTGCAGTGGCTGAGGAAGGGGGGACGGGCCGGCGACGTCGACACGCTTGAACCCACGCCGGCCTGCCGGCGCGCCCGGAGGCTCCCCGACGCGGAGGAGGCCTTCCCGCTCGTGGGGCACGCGAAGGGCCTCATGTGCACGCTCTGATGGGAGCAGAAGTCTCCCGAATTTGCGAAAACTTCACCGCACACCCAGCACTTGTAGGGCTTCTCGTCGGCGTGGCTCCTCTGGTGGCTGATCAGCGTGGCCGCTTCGTCCGTGCTGTACGGGCAGTGGGGGCACTGGTATAGCACGGACTCGGTCAGGCCCCTGTGCCGCTTCATGTGGTCCTCCAGGGCGGGCAGGCTGATCACCACCCAGTTGCAGATCGGGCAGTAGATCTTGATCTCTCCTCCCTCATTCACCGTTCCCGTCCTGGGACTGGGGCAAAGAGTGAGGCACACGAAGGAAAATGAATCTCCCTTGCCCCACCCCTGTGAAGTATCGCAAACAAGGCGTGAAGATTGAAACCACGGACACCGGTTGCTAACTGTAGAACAAAGGCAGTGGTCGTCGCTGCGTCGCGTGGCGCTTTCAGATGCTGCTGCTTGTGGCGGACGTCTGGAACGCTCTTCCTCTCCGGTATCAGGAAGCCATTGGGAGCTACGATGCACTTTTAAATCATCATCTAGATTCTAGATTGACAAACTAATTTCTTTAGAACTGCTGCTTGTTGTTGTGTTTAATTTGTTGTCCTTCCCCCGCACCTCCGATTAGCGCGGTTGGCTACTTGTTCTGTTGTTATTCTTGCTGCCTTGCCCAATCTTGATAAATCGAACTTAAACAATGAATTTCCATTTTGCAACTTTCCTACCTTTTGTTCTATTTTGCACTCCTATCGTTTGTTTGTGTGTATCGTGTTTGTGTGTATCGTGTTTGTGTGTATCGTGTTTTTGTGTATAGTGTGTTTGTGTGTATCGTGTGTTTGCCGTTGAAAATCACTGACTCCCCATGCCTATACTGGACATCTGTAGAAAAGAGATTAATAGCTCATCGGATTCCTCCTGCAGTCCAATAAAGATTCTGATTCTGACAGAGATGACTGGCAGATGCACCACCTGTGCCCCCTACTGTGCAAACTTGATGCTCTTAGTAGCCCAGCGCTCTGCTCGTTGTTTTGAGCGTCGCTCCTCTGCGTTACGTTGTTGCTGGAGGGCGACTGCCTCCAACTGCCCAGTAGCAGCGTCCTTCACGAGCCTCCTCCTCCACAGAGGCCGATCTTGACACCGCTGGTACCAGTCATCGTCAAGTCCACTCAGCTCCACATCCTCCCGTACCGCATCAGCGCCATCTCATCTCCAGCCCGTGCCGCGCCCGTTTAGCCCCCCTCGATCAATGCCGTGGCTGGGCATGCGGGCTACATGGCCCAGCCAAAGCAGCCTTGGAGGAGCTCGCCGATGATAGGGACCCTGTCCCGATCCTTCAAGGATTTGTGAGCTCCTCACACTGCGACTCAGACGACAGGTTAAACCCACGATGGATCGTGGGCATGGCCGGCCTGCAAGTTGTAAACCGGCGCAGACACAACAACAACAACCGCCATTCGCCACGAAGTGGCGGTGACGTCACCACGGCGCCTGTGCCAGGCTAGGTGCACTTTGAGGCCGTCACGTGAAGTGTCGAAAATTTTAAATATCCCCCGTGTAGCCTTACCAGACTGTAGGGACAAGTGCTGTTAGCGAGCACCTACGGAAGGCCAGAGCGGCACACGAGGGGGTGGGTGGCCAGCACCACGCCCGGCCGCCTTTGTCTCTCCCCCAGTGGCGATGTTTACCACACACACAGCACCAGGCACACATTTGAGGCTGAGTCGACCTAGGGGAGAACCAGGACCGGTTCAGATAATCGTCACTGGCGGTGTTGGCCGTGAGCGGGAATCGAACTCGGGTCGCCGGGTTCGTAGCGCTAACCGCTGCACCACCGCTCCCCACAGGAGCAAGCCCGCACACAAAGATAAAGATGCCCCAGGTAGCCTCACACAGGCTGCAGTCGCAAGTGCTGCTGTTAGTAGCGAGTAGCAGTACCTATGAAGGGGGTCGGTATCCAGCACCACGCCCGGCCGCCTTTGTCTCTCCCAACTTCACACCACAGAAACACGGAGACCTCGACTCTCTGTCTCCGTGCGTGACGTCACTCAGCCTCGTCCGTGCGTGACGTCACTCAAGTCGTCCACGCCCCCCCCTCGGGGAGTGGTAACATGACGTCACGCACGCACGCGCGAGCGACAACGTCAACCCCTTGTTAACCACAACCCCTGAAACCTCCCCCCGCCCCGCACCCCTCCCGCGCGCGACGTCACCCAGCCATCTTCGGGCGCGATGACGTCACGCGCGCGGTGGGGCTGCAAAGGAGTGACGTCATCCAGTCATAGTCGGATGCGATGACGTCACGCACTCGGTGGGGGTGCAAATGAGTGACGTCACCCGCAAGGCTCGCTGCGGTGAGCGGTGGTGAGGAACCACCTCTCCTCCTCATCATCACGGTGACTAGGAGATGTTGACTACCTCGCCTGGTGTGCAGGAGGTCGTGGGTTCGAACCCGGATCCTGACGATGCCTGCTGCTGCTGTATATTTGGAGTCTGCGTTTCTCTCTCTCATCATCACGGTGGCTATGAGATGTTAACTACCTCGCCTGGTCTACAGGAGGTCGTGGGTTCGAACCCGGACCCTGACGATGCCTGCTGCTGCTGTAGATTTGGAGTCTGCGTTTCTTTCTCCCATCATCATCACGGTGGCTAGGAGATGTTGACTACCTCGCCTTTTATACAGGAGGTCGTGGGTTCGATCCCAGACCCTGACGACGCCTGTTGCTGCTGTATATTTGGAGTCTGCGTTTCTCTCATCATCATCACGGTGGCTATGAGATGTTAACTACCTCGCCTGGTCTACAGGAGGTCGTGGGTTCGAACCCGGACCCTGACGATGCCTGCTGCTGCTGTAGATTTGGAGTCTGCGTTTCTTTCTCCCATCATCACGGTGGCTAGGAGATGTTGACTACCTCGCCTTTTCTACAGGAGGTCGTGGGTTCGATCCCAGACCCTGACGACGCCTGCTGCTGCTGTATATTTGGAGTCTGCGTCTCTCTCATCATCATCACGGTGGCTATGAGATGTTAACTACCTCGCCTGGTGTGCAGGAGGTCGTGGGTTCGATCCTGACCCTGACGATGCCTGTTGCTGCTGTATATTTGGAGTCTGCGTTTCTCTCTCTCATCATCACGGTGGCTATGAGATGTTAACTACCTCGCCTGGTCTACAGGAGGTCGTGGGTTCGAACCCGGACCCTGACGATGCCTGCTGCTGCTGTAGATTTGGAGTCTGTGTCTTCCTCTCATCATCATCATCACGGTGGCTAGGAGATGTTAACTGCCTCGTCTTGTATACAGGAGATCGTGGGTTCGATCCTGACCCTGACGATGCCTGCTGCTGTATATTTGGAGTCTGCGTTTCTTTATCTCATCATTGTCACGGTGGCTAGGAGATGTTTGACTACCTCGCCTGGTGTGCAGGAGGTCGTGGGTTCGATCCCAGACCCTGACGACGCCTGCTGCTGCTGTATATTTGGAGTCTGCGTCTCTCTCATCATCATCACGGTGGCTAGGAGATGTTAACTACCTCACCTTGTCTACAGGAGGGCGTGGGTTCGATCCCAGACCCTGACGATGCCTGCTGCTGCTGTAGATTTGGAGTCTGCGTCTCCCTCTCATCATCATCATCACGGTGGCCAGGAGATGTTGACTACCTCGCCTGGTATACAGGAGATCGTGGATTCGATCCCGACCCTGATGACGCCTGCTACTGCTGCATATTTGGAGTCTGCGTCTCTCTCATTATCATCACGGTGGCTATGAGATGTTAACTACCTCGCCTGGTCTACAGGAGGTCGTGGGTTCGATCACCAACCCTGACGCCTGCTGCTGTATATTTGGAGTCTGCGTCTCTCATAATCACGGTGGCTAGGAGATGTTGACTACCTCGCCTGGTGTGCAGGAGGTCGTGGGCTCGAACCCAATGCTGACGATGCCTGCTGCTGTTGTGGATAAGTTGGTGGAGTTCCCACACCTCAATTGAAAACTAATTTCTTTAGAACTGATTTTTGTATTTGTTGTCCTTCACCCCTGTTCCGATTATCACGGTGGGCTACGTACGGCGCGAAAGAAGTTCAACATACATACATTGGACTGTCCACTACACAATAATATACACTACACAATAATATACACTACACTATTATGCAATACAATACTATACACTTATATACATTACACTACGATACAGTACACTACTGTACACCACACCACTATACACCACTATACACTACACCACTACACACCACCACTACACACTACACCACTATACACGACACTACTACCCACTACACCACTATACACTACACTACTATACACTACACCACTATACACTACACTACTATACACTACACCACTACACGACTATACACGACACTACTACACACTACACCAATACACACTTCACCAATATACACCACCACTACGCTACATTGAGAATTCATTTCTCTCGAACTGATTGTTATTAGCTTGTTGTCCTTCCCCCGGCACCTCCGATTTAGTACGGTGGGCTATGTACGGTGCGAAAGAAGTTCAGCACGCACACATAACAGCGGCGGATTGACAAGGCATCAGCTCTCGCTCCCTCCGTGTGCGTCACTGTGTGCCCTGCGCCGAAACTCTCCGGTATTGCTGCATGGTATGTTATAGGGAGCGTCCGTGTTTTCTCCTCTAGGTTTCGTAGCTATCGGCGGTACTCTGCGCGCAGAATTGAAGTGGATTGACTGTCCCTTTGTGCCCTGGCGCCGAGGGAAACATGAAAGAAGAAGGAGAGGAAGTGAAGCGGATCTGCTGCCCAGTCTGCAACTGGGTGGTGGTCAGCCTGCCCGCCCTGGAGGACCACATGAAGCGCCACAAGGGCCGGATCGAGCCCGTGATGTACCGGTGCCCCCACTGCCCGTACAGCACGGACAATCTCAACGTCCTGATCGCCCACCAGGCGACGCACGACGCGGGGGAGTCCCACAAGTGCGCCGAGTGCGGCAAGGTGTTCGTCGACGCGGATGTCTTCCGCGAGCACCGGGCGATGCACGACGAGGAGAAGCCCCACAAGTGCGCCGCGTGCGGAGAGGCGTTCGGCCGGGCGGAAGATCTTCGCGCGCACCAGAGGATCCACGGCGGGGCGCCGTACCGGTGCGGCGTTTGCGGGACGGAGTTCACCCGGCTGGATTGCCTCCGCAGCCACCAGAGGACCCACACGGGGGAGAAGCCCTACCGGTGCGACGAGTGCGGCGTAACGTTCGTGTGGTCGGCGAGCCTCCTCACGCACAAGAGGAGCCACGCGGGCGAGAAGCCCTACCGGTGCGACGAGTGCGGCATGACGTTCGCCTGGTCGGCGAGCCTCCTGTCGCACAAGAGGATCCACACGGGGGAGAAGCTCTACCACTGCACCGTCTGCGGCATGGAGTTTTCCCGCTCGGACTACCTGCGCAGCCATCAGCGGACGCACACGGGCGAGAAGCCGTACAAGTGCGCCGAGTGCGGCGAGGCGTTCTCGCAGTCGGGCGCCCTCCTGGGGCACAAGAGGATCCACACGGGCGAGAGGCCGTACAAGTGCGTCGAGTGCGGAAAGGCGTTCGCGCGGTCGTGGGCCCTCCTCGTGCACACGAGGACCCACGCGGAGGAGAAGCCGTACAAGTGCACCGTGTGCGAGAGGGCGTTCGGCCGGTCGGATCACCTGCGCAGCCACCAGAGGACGCACACGGGCGAGAGGCCGCACGCGTGCGGCGTGTGTGGCAAGGCCTTCGCCGAGCCGGTGGCCCTGCGCGTACACAACAGGGTCCACACGGGCGAGAGGCCGTGCGTGTGTGCCGTGTGCGGGAAGGCGTTCTCGTGCACGGGAGCCCTTCGCACGCACACCATGGTCCACACGGGCGAGAAGCCGTACAAGTGCGACCTGTGCGGGAAGGGGTTCCAGCGCTCGGGGGCGCTCAATAAGCACAGGAGGAGCCACGCGGAGGAAAAGGCCTAAAGGGGTGAAAATGCCTCTTTCAAATGCACTCGCGATCCGGAGGCCCTGATGTAAACCAACCCAAACGACGATCTATAACATGCCGAAAAGTAACCTCTGACGCGCAATATTTGACCGGGAGACAAACATTTGACATGAAAGCAAATGGAACCGGCTAAGCAATACTGTTGTGTACATATGTTGAACTTCTTTCGCACCGTGTATAGCCAACCATGCTCATGGAAGGTGCGGGGGAAGGACGACAAACTAAAAGTGCACAGTTCCAGTGGCTTCTTAATATCGGAAGAGCATTCCAGATGGCCGCAGAACCTAATAGCGAAGTGATAATCACAAAAACGAGGGATAAGGCTGAAGGAAAATATAGATGAGTCGTATGCATCAAGAAATACAATTTAAGTACAGATACAAGTATACAATGTTCACGCAGTATCTTCCCATTCATCGGGACCTCAATAACTTTCCGCGTCGTCGCTTGATGTCAAGCCATAAGCCCTTTTTGAACCCATGCGCTTAACCTTCAATGCGATTCAACCCCCGATGAAGCTTGGAGAGCGGAATGGAGTTCAAAAGAACTCGCAAACACCTTGTGAAAGACCCAATGCAGAAGATCCCTGGGGTTTGATCTTCCACGAAGCTCATGGTCCACCCTAAACCGCATCCATTGCACAAACCACGGCAGCAGCAGATGCGGATACCTGATGCACAAATGTGAAATTAGAAACTCTCCAGTCTGTGACTGGTCATCCAGGAAAGGACCGTACAACATATAACAACGACGCAATGCCTCGATCCACAAATACGAAGGACACATCATGGCGACACACTCCGCTGCTCCTGACCGTTATCGGTCTTGACCATCCGAATGTGAAATTGTAGTTGTTCTTCTGCATCTACATCAGGGACCGTGCGACGAGAAGAAAGAATAAGAAGACGCAGTATCTGTTAAAACAAAGCAGGGATTGAACTTGGCAATCTGGAAAACGTATGAAGTGGTTCAATCTTGATTTTAATCTTTCAAAACTGCAGGAATCCATACTTTTTGGTTCTTTCGGTAAAGTCACGTAGGTAGAAAAATAATAGATCACGACGTTTCGATCGCAACGCAAGCAATCGTCATCAGTTTTTTCTTGCTGTGGTTGTCCCACCTGATGACGATTGCTTGTGTTGCGATCGAAACGTCGTGATCTATTATTTTTCTACCTACGTGACTTTACCGAAAGAACCAAAGAGTATGAAGTGGTGTTCACCGCAGACGATGATGGGGTCAAGAAGGTCAGGGAACTTGGTTCGGAAAAGTTGTATATTACTCTCTGTACAGAAGGGATAAGTGAGAGTTGGAACCAGACCTTCGGTTAGCAGCCTGGAGCTCAAGAACGTGGGTCTAATAGTGAGCGGCAGTGCAGCGGTTAGCGCAAAGTGCTACGAATCCGATTCCCGCTCACGGCCAACATCGGTGATGATTACCTGAAAGAGTCCTGGGCTTCCCCTAGGTCGACTCGGCCTCAAATTAGTACCTGGTGCAGAGTGCCAGGTGGGTAAAGCGCAGCGAGGTGGTACAGTGGGGAGCACGGTTGGTGCATCTGCACCTAGCCTGGCACAGCAGTAAACCCACCTGGGTCCTGTGACCTGCCAGCAGCGAGAGACTTCCACACTTCACGTGGCCTCAAAGTGCACCTAGCCTGGCACAAGCACCGTGGTGACGTCACTGCCACTTAGTGGCGAATGGCTGCTGTTGTTGTGTGGAGCGGTAGCGCAGCGTTGAGTGCGCTGCGCTACGAACCCAGCAGAGATTACTCTTTGGTTCTTTCGGTAAAGTCACGTATAAAGAGAAAATAATAAATTAAATACAAGCATACTTAGCATACGTGACTTTACCGAAAGAACCAAAGAGTAATTCCTGCAGTCACGAAAGCTCAAAATTAAGTACCAGCACAGAGACCCCGAGTTCAAATTCCCACTCACGACCATCACCACCGCCACCGGTGACAGCGATTATCTGAACCGGTCCTGGGCCTCTCCTAGGTCGACTCGGCTGCTAATGAGTGTGTAGTAGTAAACATCGCCGCTGGGGAGACAAAGGTGGTCGAGGCGTGGTGCTGGCCACCCACCCCCAAATTCGTACTGTTCCGGCCTTCATAGGTGCTTCTTGCTAACAGCACTTGCCCCAATTGTCTATTAAGGCTATACGGGGGGTCTTTGACTTTGTTTTGGATGTCTCTTAATGGCGAATACGTAAATGGTAGAAGATGGTTTAGCCACCACGGTGGGAGGCGTTCGGGAGTTTGGGTGTAAACCACGGTGGCTATGAGATGTTAACTACATTGCCTGGTATACAGGCCGTGGATTTGATCTCGACCTTGACGCTTGCTGTATATTTGGAGTTTGCATGTTCTCCCTGTTGGCGCGTCGATTTTTTCTCCTGGTCCTCCGATTTTTCCCTCCATATTTAGCATCGACATCGCGCGTTGAGAATATTTGGCTGCTGTACATTTCCACATAATGATAAGCCACTTCGTTGAGCGATCATACACGTATATAATAGCCCAGATCTGTCCTGTCATTATTTATTTCATTATGTGATTAAAGCGCCACGGATTGGTTGAAGTGCGTCACGTGACCGCGCCCCCCCGGATTGGTTGAAGTGCGTCACATGACCGCGAGCTGCCCACTTCGTGTTGTGGTGCGCCCCGCACCTCGGAGGCCCGAGAAGCAGCAACATGACGGCCACAGCGCCGGAGATGTAGCCACAGAAAGCTGACGGTCGATCCACTCACATACGGCTCACTCACTCACACACACTCACTCACAATCGCATGCAGCTCAAAGGAGACGGGTGAGTGAGAGTGAGGCAGAGCCGTGCTCCATCCACTGCTGCCCTGAGGGACCCCTGTGCTCTCCACTGCTGGCTTGTGGGAGAGTCGCGCTGTCTCCACTGCTGCCGTGAGGGAGCCAGATGTGCTCTGTCCGCTGCTGCCCTGAGGGAGAGCCATGCTCCGTCCACTGCTGCCCTGAGGGAGAGCCGTGCTCTGTCCATTACATTAGTACTCGAGTTTTTTTGGTGCTTAAATCCACTGCTGGATGAAGGCCCATCGCAAGCTGTGCGAGTGGATCGTAAGGATTTACTTGACCAGTCTGTTGGGGGCCGCCGCAGGCTGTGGTTATTGGGGGGGCTCCGCAGGCTGTGGTTGTTGGGGGGCTCCGCAGGCTGTGGTTGTTTGGGACCGCTGTACGCTGTGGTTGTTGGGGGGCGCCACAGGCTGTGGTTGTTTGGGACCGCTGTACGCTGTGGTTGTTAGGGGGCGCCGCAGGCTGTGGTTGTTTGGGGCCGCCGTACGCTGTGGCTGTTCGGGGACGCTACAGGTTGTGGTTGGCGCCCCCGCACAACCTAGTTTGTGATTGGTTGCTTCTGAAAAATAGCTATTTCGTGCAGTGGGCCTTACCTGGTAAAATAAACAAAATAGTACTAGTTGTATATGTGAAAAAGAGCTTCATCGCTCATTGGATTATTTTTCCTTACGATTCCGTTCCGATGATGGCAGTGTCCATCGTCAAAATGAAAACCGGCTGTGGAGGCACCCCGTGTAGCAGGCTTGTCAGAACTACACTTGCAGGCGGGGGAGTAGTACTGTGGCGGGCAAACACAGATGGCTCAGAGGCAGGGGTGGACTTCTAGAGGCGGCAAAAGGCCCTGGCAGAGTCGGTGGAGCCTTGCGACGGGCAGATGCGCGCGGGCAGGCTGACGCCGCCAGAGGCAACACATAGGCCTGGGCAGAACTCGTATAGAGTTGGGGTGGAACGGTTCATTTTTTGGGGTTTACACCCATTCAATAGTGGTGATGTGTAGGATTGACCTCGCACCCATTCAATGCTGGTGATGTGTAGGGTTGACCTCGCACCCATTCAATGCTGGTGATGTGTAGGATTGACCACGCACCCATTCAATACTGGTGATGTGTAGGGTTGACCACGCACCCATTCAATGCTGGTGATGTGTAGGGTTGACCTCGCACCTATTCAATGCTCGTAGTCTGTTAGGGTTGACCTTGCACCCATTCAATGCTCGTGGTCTGTTAGGGTTGACCTCACACCCATTCAATGCTCGTGGTCTGTAGGTTTGACCTCGCACCCATTCAATGCTCGTGGTCTGTAGGTTTGACCTCACACCCAATGCTCGTGGTCTGTCAGGTTGACCTCGCACCCATTCAATGCTCGTAGTCTGTATGGTTGATCTCTAAAATACAGCTCTTTCAAAGAAAGCCAGTAATTTGTTCTTTCCGCAATGCAGTTCTACATTCGCATTTCATCATTATGGCTATGCAGAGGAAGTACAAAGGCGAGTATGAATAGAGGCGTTCCATGCTTTGACAGCGGCAGTTTTTGGAACGCAGAATGTCCTTTTTCAACAAATGTCCATAATCGCTTGTCTAGAGCAGCGGTGGCCAACATGTAACAGACCAAGAGCCATAAAGTACCCGAGAGTTATGCAGAGCCAAGTGTATATATATAGTACAGTGGAACCTCGGTATACGACCGCTTTGGAATACGTCGAATTTGGTACACGTGTTTTTTTTCGAGAGAGAAAAATGTCTTGGGATACGACGCCTTGCTTGGGATACGACGTCTTGCTTGGGATACGACGCCTTGCTTGGGATACGACGTCTTGCTTGGGATCGACGTCTTGCTTGGGATACGACGTCTTGCTTGGGATCGACGTCTTGCTTGGGATACGACGCACTTGCTTGGGATACAACGCCTTGCTTGGGATACGACGTCTTGCTTGGGATACGACGCACTTGCTTGGGATACGACGTCTTGCTTGGGATACGACGCACTTGCTTGGGATACGACGCCTTGCTTGGGATACGACGCACTTGCTTGGGATACGACGTCTTGCTTGGGATACGACGCCTTGCTTGGGATACGACGTCTTGCTTGGGATACGACGTCTTGCTTGGGATACGACGCACTTGCTTGGGATATGACGTCTTGCTTGGGATACGACGTCTTGCTTGGGATACGACGCCTTGCTTGGGATACGACGTCTTGCTTGGGATCGACGTCTTGCTTGGGATACGACGTCTTGCTTGGGATCGACGTCTTGCTTGGGATACGACGTCTTGCTTGGGATACGACGCCTTGCTTGGGATACGACGTCTTGCTTGGGATACGACGTCTTGCTTGGGATCGACGTCTTGCTTGGGATACGACGTCTTGCTTGGGATACGACGTCTTGCTTGGGATACGACGTCTTGCTTGGGATACGACGTCTTGCTTGGGATACGACGCGCTTGCTAGAACTTGTATGGGTCGGGATGAGTCACCACGTACAGTACCCGCATATGCCCCGTTCACGACTGAAACAAATCGAGAGTGGCGGGGGACGTGGGGGAGAGGGGCGGGGGACGTGGGGGGCTGCCCCCATGGAGGGTGGAGCCCCGGGTCGAGGCGCACGCGACGTGTGGGGTTGAGGCACACCACGTGACCAGCGCAGCTGGCAGCAGCGCTGGTCACGTGGCTTCCGTATTTTAGTAATTGGTGTCTAAATTATTTTATACAACCCCATTAATGTATAATATGCCACGTAAAATATCAATTATTTTCCTCTGGAACGGATTATTTACTTTACCTTCATTTCTTATGGGAAAAATTCGTTTGGTGTACGTCATTTTCGGTTTAAGTCCTACCTTCTGGAACGAATTAACGACGGATACCGAGGTACCACTGTATATCATATACAACTTAACGGACAAACTTTAATTCATTATTCGTTGTGTAGCTGATGTTAGCATACCTGTGTTGAATCGCACGTAGAATTGTGCACTCTACTACGTGTTTGGGGCCGTCCATAAATGACGTCACGCGATTTTGGGCGATTTTTGACCCCCCCCCCCCCATCGTCACACGGCGTCACAAAAAGTCAGACCCCCTCTCAAATATGACGTCACAAAGCTCTGACCCCCCCCCCCCCCCAAAATTATAAAACATGCTTCAAATCGCTTTAAACTATTGTCACTAGTGCGTATTTAATGTGCTGCTGCACTCTGATGTTGTAGGAGAAAACATTAAAAAGTCTATTTAATTAAGTAGAACGTGTTGTCTATATTTAAAGTTGCGCATTTTGATGTGATGTCACATTTCTCAAACCCCCCCCCCCTCGTCACAAATGTCTGACCCCCCCCCCTAGGTGTGTGACGTCATTTATGGACGGCCCCTGACCACAGTCGCACCACTACAGACTGGAGAGTTTTTAATTTTTCATTTGTGCATCAGGTTATCCCCATCGGCTGCTGCCACGGTTTCTGCAGTGGAATGCGGCTTGAGAGTGGACCATGAGCTAAGGTGGAAGATCAAACCCAGGGGATCTTCTGCGTTGGTTTCTTTCACGACAAGGTGTTTGATTGCGAGTTCTTTTGAACTCCATTCCGGTCTCCAAGATTCATCGGGGGTTGAACTTCGCACCGTTGAAGATGAAGCGCATGGGGTCCAAAGGGGCTTGCGGCGTGACTCCAAGCGACGTCGAGGTGCCGATGAAATGTGAAGACACCTGTGTGAGGATTTGTGCATCGTCTGGTGTCGTCCACATCGACCGCTTGCCATGGCTTGTGCAGTGGACGATGCGGTTTAGGTTGGACCGTGAGCAGCTTTGCGGAAGACCCAAACCGCCAGGGCAATCTTCCGCGTCAAAAATGTTTCTCTGGTGTGGACCTATCAAGTTAAAGTTCAAGTTCATTTATTAGGTATAGCCCTGTGAGCCATTCGGCTCTTGAATCGGGTGCAACTGCAACAAACAAAAAAACATGAACAAAGTGACTATGTGCAAACATCTTCTTGGTTCTTTCGGTAAAGTCACGTAGAAGGGAAGTAATAAAATAATAAAAATAAAACATAATAAAACAATTCTCACGACGTTTCGGCCACAACGCAAGCAGCCGTCCTCAGGTGAAAACCAGGTCCGTCGAGGCAAACAGAAAATCCAAGAAAAGACAGCGAAATATTGCAGAAAAAGCACCGTACACCAACACTGTGTGCATCTATTATCAGAGTGTTCTTTGTTTGCATCTTGACCACAAGTATTGTGGTTAATGCACACATGATTCCTCGTAAAGAGGTTTCAGTTTTATTGCCAGAAAAAAGGGGAAAAGCCCTATTATTATATTTTGGTACTGGCAAAGGAGGTCTAATGATGGAGTGGACACCTTGGCACACATAGACCCACAGAGATATAGAGACCCATAGAGATACACAAATACCCATAGAGATACACAGACCCACAGAGATACATAGAGATACATAGAGATACAGAGAGACCCACAGATACAGAGACCCACAGAGATACACAGAGACCCATAGAGATACACAGACCCACAGAGATACACAGAGACCCACAGAGATACACAGAGACCCATAGAGATACACAGAGACCCACAGAGATACACAGAAACCCACAGAGATGCACAGAGACCCACAGAGACCCACAGAGATACACAGAGACCCATAGAGATACACAGAGACCCACAGAGACCCATATATTAAACTATATATTTTTTGTTACCAGGTAAGGCCCCACTGAGCAATGTGGTAGCTCTCGTTAGAAGCCACCCTGCCTATCACAAAATGCCCCCCCCTAATATATTGCTATAAAATATAATTGCTATGCTATGTAAATAAAACAATTTGCTAAACCTTGGCCACAATATCTGGACTTCATATAAATCAATGCATAGATTTATGTTAATATGATTGTGGTTATGGTTTTATTTTATTAATCCATAATCTCTGCCATTACATACAATGAAACAAGAAAAGGTAAAAAAGAAAAAACGGAGCAATGTAATACAATACACTGACATTGTTAAAAAAATAAATAAAGACTCCATCCCATGTGTTAGTGAATTTTGTAATATTTTAGGCAGAAAATTAGTTTTCAATTTTTTTCTGTGTAGTGTATAGTGTGGTGTATATTATTGTGTTGTGTATATTATTGTATAGTGTATATTATTGTGCAGTGTAAAGTCCAGTGTATGTATGTTGAACTTCTTTCGCGCCGTACGTAGCCCACCGTGATAATCGGAGGTGCAGGGGGAAAGGACAACACATACAAGAAGCAGATCTAAAGAAATTAGTTTTCAATTGAGTTATGGGAACTCCACCAGCCTCTCCACAGCAGCAGCAGGCATCGTCAGGGTCTGGGATCGAACCCACGCACTCCTGCACACCAGGCGAGGTAGTCAACATCTCCTAGCCACCTCAGCCCCCTCGAATCACGTGCCATGAAGAAGGGTCATTGCCCGAAACGTCGCCTCTTGTATATACAGCACGGCACGTACTGTACAGCACTACTCACAGCACTATACGGTGTGTACAGTACTGCATGTATAACACTGCGTACTGTATGTACAGTACTACATGCACCACACTATGCGTACTGTATGTACAGTACTACATGTATCGTACTGTGCGTACTGTATGCACAGTACTACATGTATCGTACTGTCCGTACAGTACTGCATTCTTTGTAAGGCCGCAAGCAGAACTGTACGTGCCCGTGACGTCACGTCTCTTCCTATTCTGATCGTGACGTCATGTCCCTCCCTATCCTGCAAGTGACGTCACGTTCTCCCTAATCCTGACAGTGACGTCACGTCACCCCTCATCGCGACAGTGACGTCGCGCCCGGATGTTTGTGAATCGGAGGCGGAAGCAGACGCGAGCGTGAGTGGACAACCCCAGATTTGGTTTATAATAAAATATAATAAAAAAATATTATTATACTTAATATAACAAATATATTATTTACGTTCAATGTAACATATTTACGCGAATCTAACCACCCCCCCCCCCCAAAAAAAAATGGGAGAGTGAGTTTCTCGACAAACAACAATTGGTTTAATACGTAGTAGGAGTCCAGAATAGAGGGTTATACTGGTAGGAACCTCCTGGTTACACCAGCCCACAGGGGATTATTGTGTCCGTCGTGCAGGGAGGGGCTGGTGGGGAGGCAGGGGCTGGGTGGGGAGGGTGGGGAGGGGCTGGGTGGAGAGAGTGGGGCTGGGTGGGGGGTGGGAGGGGTGGGGCTGGGTGGGGAGGGGCTGGTCACCCCGTGGTGCCCTTATAAAACTCAACGTTTAACCTACTCACGCCGGCTTGTGCCCGCCCTCACAGTCGGCCATATTTGCGGAATACACCACGCCGCCGTTGACCCTGGCCATTGACCGAGCAACCCAACGTTCCTACCACCAGCTCCCTCCACAGGAATGTGTTTGTGGGTTAGATCGCGTAAATATATAAATGTTGTTATGTTGTTAAACCCGCCACCACCCGACACGGCCAATTAGTAAGGTTTGTCACACAAACAGAGCATGCCAATTCGTTACTAGTACAGCACCACAGCGGTTATGTGTTGGAGAGCAGTGTAGTGTACAGCGTAGCGTAGTGTAGTGTACAGCGTAGTGTATAGTTTAGTGTACAGCGTAGTGTATAGTGTAGTGTACAGCGTAGTGTATAGTGTAGTGTACAGCGTAGTGTATAGTGGAGTATATAGTGCAGTGTACAGTGTAGTGTATAGCGTAGTGTGTAGTGTACAGCGTAGTGTGTAGTGTAGTCTATATTGGAGTGTACAGTGGAGTGTATAGCGTAGTACACCACCAGTTGTATGTTGGGAGAGTACATCTACAATATTTACAACTATAGTGTGTGCTGTATATTGTGTAGTGTATATTATAGTGTGTAGTGTACAGTGTAGTATATAGTGTAGCGTGTAGTGTATAGTGTATAATGTGCAGTGTATAGCGTGTAGTGTATAGTGTGTAGTGTATAGTGTATCGCGTGTAGTGTATAGTGTGTAGTGTATAGTGTGCAGTATATAGTGTCGTGCATAGTGTGTAGTGTATAGTCTGCAGTATATAGTGTAGTGTATAATGTACTCCACCGGTTGTGTGTTGGAGAGCAAATCCACAAGATTTACAATCTGAGTACTGTGCCGTTTCGCCAGTAATTACAACAACGAGCATCATCAGGCGGACACATCTGGCTGTCCACCTTTTCTACACTTTGCACTCCTATTGTGTTTGTGTATTGTTTGTTGTTAAGTTCTGACCCCGTGCTCCTACTGGACATCTGTGAAAAAATAGCTTTATAGCTCATCAGATTAAACATTGATTCTGATTCTGAACTGGCAGTCGCCTTGGACATGGGAAAAGGGTTGACGTGAAGACACGAGGAGAGAATTGATTTCCTTATTTGTGCTTTGCCCTGCGTGTCCCAGTGCTGATAGGACGGACGGAGCAAAGATGAAGATCTTCTGCCCTATCTGCAAGTGGCTCGTGGTCAGCTTGCCCGCCCTAGACGACCACATGAAGCGGCACAGGGGGTGTACCGAGCCCACGCTGTTCCGGTGCCCCCACTGCCCGTTCAACACGGACAAGCTGAACGTGTTCATCGAGCACCAGGCGACGCACGACGCTCGCGCGTCGGACAAGTGCGGGAAGTGCGGCAAGGTCTTTATAGACGCCGAGGTCTTCCGTGAGCATCAGGCGGCGCACTCCGAGGAGAAGCCCTACAAGTGCACTGGTTGCGAACTGGCATTCAGTCGGTCGCAGGACCTCGACGAGCACCAGAGGACACACGCCAGCAAGGAGCCCTACCGGTGCGGCGTCTGCAACGCGACGTTCGCGAAGGCGACGAGCTTCGTCTCGCACAGGAGCACGCACGTCAGCAAGAAGCTCTACCACTGCACCGTCTGCAGCATGGAGTTTTCCCGCTCGGACCACCTCCGCAGCCACCAGCGGACGCACACGCGGGAGAAGCCGTTCGCGTGCGCCGAGTGCGGCGAGGCGTTCTCGCAGTCGGGCGCCCTCGTCCGGCACCAGAGTGTCCACACGAGCGAGAAGCCCTACAAGTGCTCGGTGTGCGGCAAGGCGTTCGCCCGGTCGCAGTACCTCCTGATACATAGGAGGAGGCACACGGGCGAGAGGCCGTATGTGTGCGATGTGTGCGGGAAGGCGTTCGCGCAGGCCAGGGTCCTCCTCGGGCACAAGAGGACGCATACGGGCGAGAGGCCGTACGCATGTGCCATTTGCGGCAGGGCCTTTGCTGAGCCGGTGGCCCTACGCATACACAACAGGATCCATACGGGCGAAAAGCCGTATGAGTGCGCCGCGTGCGGGAAGGCGTTCTCGTGCGCCGGGGGGATTCGCGCCCACATGATGGTGCACACGGGCGAGAAGCCCTACAAGTGCGACCTGTGCGAGAAGGCATTCCAGCGCTCGGGTGCGCTCAAAACGCACAGGAGGAGCCACGCGGAGGAAAAGCCCCGAGAGTGAAAGCGCGCTCGCGGTTCGGAGAAGTCCCTCGCCTCTCATGTTCGAGAAATGATGCCGGCACGGAGAGCTGAAATACGATATTTAACCCAAAATTTGAAAAACAGTTTGCCGGCTGGCTGGTTGGGCTGACACGCGGTGGTAATGTCGCTCGCATCCCACAGCAGCATAGAGCCGGAGTTCGTGCATCTTCATGCCAGCACGCGTCCGCCTCTTACCGCCCGTTCGCGTGGCGAACTTGTTGTGACAAAAAAACAATTTGGCCTCTCCAGCCGTTGCCCCACAGCTGTGGAATGAGACCGGCCACGTAAAGTTCCATAACACCCGCCAAGTCACGTACACGAACGTACGTACGTGTGTGTACGTTGAACTCCTTTCGCACCGTACGTAGGCAACCACGCAAATCGGAGGTGTGGGGGGGGAAGGACAATAAACGCACAAAGTAGTTCTAAAGAAATTCGTTTTCAATGTAGATTTAAAAGTGCATAGCTCCCAGTGGCTTTCTAATATCCGAAGGAAGAGCGTTCCAGATGGCCGCAGAAACAGCGCTTCTGAAAGTGCATGATGCAGTGACCATTTTGTTTGACGGTTAGCCCGAAACCGCTGCTGCTGCGAGAATGACCGTAATTCGTATGATGTTAGTTTATGCTCCTTGACGAGAACAGTGATATATTGTTGTGGTTCATTTGTGGCAAACGCTTTGTGTGTAATGAGCGCGGCGACCTGAAGGAAGAGCGTTCCAGATGGCCGCAGAAACAGCGTTTCTGAAAGTGCATGATGCAGTGACCGTCTTTGTTCGACGGTTAGCCCGAAACCGCTTCTGCTGCGAGAATGACCGTAATTCGCGTGATGTTGGTTTATGTTCCTTGACGAGAACAGTGATATATTGTTGTGGTTCATTTGTGACAAGCGCTTAGTGTGTAATGAGCGCGGCGACCTTTATTATAATGTTTTTGTTCGGCAAATGGTTATGTAAGTTACGGCCAAAATCACCATCAGCATGCACGAGTCGTCCCCGGTGTATCGCGAATCCGTTTGGCACAAACGATTTACAAAGTTAGGGGCAGACGCCCGATCACCGCGCTCGACGATTTTACACCCTTGTTCGTGGGATTTTTCAGAAGCCGAAATTTTCCGCCACGTTCCCGCGTACAGTACAGTACCCGAGGGTGAGGAGGCAACACGCGCGTCGCGGGCGGCAGTGGTGACAGCGGCCGCAGCAGCGAGCCCCCCCCCCCCCACTCAGTCTTTGTACCACCTAGTGCTGGATCGTGCGCGCACACGTGTTTTATCTCACTCTTCTATCCCTTTGCGTTTGCTTGAATACTACTATAACACTGGTCAACATACTTTTCCTGGCATAAGGTATTCCAACGGTTTTAAGGTAATGTTGGGGTGCTGATTCCAAATCTGGCATCACTTTTTGTCTATCAAATCAAATATTGCATTTTCAATAAAAACTGCAGAAGAAAAATATTAACGAAATGTGGATATCTACATAAAATGATATTATAAACACACTATCCTAAAAATACAGCACCAAATTTTAACACTAAAGCAGTCACTGACTCGCAACAACTTGCAATCATAAGTGACAGAGTTAATTTCGGGTAAAATCAATGAAAATGGGGTATGCCGATAGCATAAAATTAGATGTGATAGAGCAAATCTGAGATCAGATTTGGAATCGGCACCCTGAAATTAGTCTAAAACAGCTGCAAAAGTCGAGGCCAGAAAAACAATTTTTTGTTGACCAGTGTAATCAGCCAATAATGTGTGTCCCGCGCGTGATGTCACTCTACATGAGGCCCACCCCCCGCCTCATTAATATTCATGAGTGGGTGGGTTTTTACACTAACGCAGAGGAAGGTCGAGCTGAATTAAATAATACGCAAAGTCGCTTCAAATATGACTTTTCTTTACAGAAAGTGACGGTAAAAAATTAATACGCAGCACAGTGAGTGACGTCACTGCAAAAGAGGCCCCCCCTTTCATTAATATTCATGCCTGTGTGGAAATTTACACTAACGCACAAGGTCGCGCACTCCACATGCCCACCCTTCCCCTCAATAATCCTGAGCGGGTGATGTCACTCCACATGCCGCAGCCCTCCACAATAACCATTAACGGGTGACGTCACTCCACATGGGGCAACCCCCCCCCCCTCATTAATAATCATGAGCTGAACTATTTTTCTATTGAGTATTTCACATTTACTGCAATATACACTCGTCCTTTGACGGGCAAAAGAGCTTGTCTATTATAAAAGCCCGGCGTCCCATTTGTTCGTTTGTCCGTCAACTAAATGATGAGAGCCTTTCAGAAGGCATAAATCAAAAAGTTATAGAAAATGGACCCCCCCCCCCGCAGATGTGGGGGTAAAAAGTTGATCCAACAGGTTTACAAAAATGGTCAACCCCCCCTCCCCAAAAAAAAGTCACTCCACCCCCACCCCCTAAAAAAGACATTGATTTTGCAGGCATGTATGCCTACACACCCTACATACAGTGAGGGGAAAAATGTAATTGATCCCCTCCTGATTTTGTACGTTTGTCCACTGACAAAGAAATTGTCAGTCTATAATTTTAATGGCAGGTTTATTTGAACAGTGAGAGACAGAATAACAACAACAAAAATCCAGAAAAACGCATGTCAAAAATGTTATATATTGATTTGCATTTTAATGAGGGAAATAAGTGTTTGCCCCCCTCTCAATCAGACAGATTTCTGGCTCTCAGGTGTCTTTTATACAGGTAACAAGCTGAGATTAGGAGCACACTCTTAAAGGGAGTGCTCCTAATCTCAGCTTGTTACCTGTATAAAAGACACCTGTTCACAGAAGCAATCAATCAGATTCCCAACTCTCCACCATGGCCAAGACCAAAGAGCTCTCCAATGATGTCAGGGACAATATTGTAGACCTACACAAGGCTGGAATGGGCTACAAGACCATCGCCAAGCAGCTTGGTGAGAAGGTGACAACAGTTGGTGAGATTATTCGCAAATGAAAGAAACATAAAAGAACTGTTAATTTCCCTCGGCCTGGGGCTCCATGAAAGATCTCACCTCGTGGAGTTGCAATGATCATGAGAACAGTGATGAATCAGCCCAGAACTATACGGGAGGATCTTGTCAATGATCTCAAGGCAGCTGGGACCATAGTCACCAAGAAAACAGTTGGTAACACACTACGCCGAGAAGGACTGAAATCCTGCAGCGCCCGCAAGGTCCCCCTGCTCAAGAAAGCACATATACATGCCCGTCTGAAGTTTGCCAATTAACATCTGAATGATTCAGAGGACAACTGGGTGAAAGTGTTGTGGTCAGATGAGACCAAAATGGAGCTCTTTGGCATCAACTCAACTCGCCGTGTTTGGAGGAAGAGGAATGCTGCCTATGACCCCAAGAACACCATCCCCACCGTCAAACATGGAGGTGGAAACATGCTTTGGGGGTGTTTTTCTGCTAAGGGGACAGGACAACTTCACCACATCAAAGGGACGATGGACGGGGCCATATACCGTCAAATCTTGGGTGAGAACCTCCTTCCCTCAGCCAGGGCATTTAAAATGGGTCGTGGATGGGTATTCCAGCATGACAATGACCCAAAACACACGGCCAACGCAACAAAGGAGTGGCTCTAGAAGAAGCACATTAAGGTCCTGGAGTGGCCTAGCCAGTCTCCAGACCTTAATCCCATAGAAAATCTGTGGAGGGAGCTGAAGGTTCGAGTTGCCAAACGTCAGCCTCGAAACCTTAATGACTTGGAGAAGATCTGCAAAGAGGAGTGGGACAAAATCCCTCCTGAGATGTGTGCGAACCTGGTGGCCAACTAAAAGAAACGTCTGACCTCTGTGATTGCCAACAAGGGTTTTGCCACCAAGTACTAAATCATGTTTTGCAGACGGGTCAAATACTTATTTCCCTCCTTAAAATGCCAATCAATTTATAAAAAATTTGACATGCGTTTTTCTGGATTTTGTTTTTGTTATTCTGTCTCTCACTGTTCAAATAAACCTACCATTAAAATTATAGACTGATCATTTCTTTGTCAGTGGGCAAACGTACAAAATCAGCAGGGGATCAGGAGTTGAAAATGGCGCACGTCCCGACCGGCCGCCATCTTGGCGGCCGGTCGGGACGCGCGCGAATTTCCCGCCCAGGCACCCGCAGCAGCAGCGGCGTCCTCTCTCCTCCAGCTCCGGCGCTCTCTCTCGATGGCAGCGATGCAGCGACGTGATGTGTGTCCTGCTGCCCCGCCTGCAGCGCCATCTCCCTCCTTCACCGGGGCTGCAGACCCCGGAGCTGCCCTGAAGACGATTTTCCCGCCGTCCTCGTAGTGTGGAAGCGTCCAGGTAAGTTGTAGTAATCGCGCGTATTCTATACTGACTAGGATAACGCCTAACGCTAGCCACTTCTAACACCAAATGTAATGGGTTCATTTTAGACGCACACACTTCTTGGGAGACAACACTCATTTATTAGAACAGTAAGTATATACTCTTAGGTTTTTTCGGTAAAGTCACGTAGGTAAAAATAAATAATAAAAATAAAAAATAAAAAATAATAGAAATAATAATAGAAATAAAATAATAAATCACAACGTCTCGGAGGCAACACAAGTCTCCGTCATCAGGTGGGACTGTCACAGCTAGATTTACTGTCTCAAGTGAGGCAAAATTCCAAGAGACAAGCTCTTAAATACAAGTTAAGGGGGGGAAGGGGGAGGGGGTTATCTGAATATGGAAGCCAATGAATGGAACGTGTTGGGGGGGGTGGGCGGGGCTAAAAGAGTACAATAGGTGCACATGTTGATGTTTTACCCGGTGTTGGTTGACAATCCAAATACAAAAAGGATGGCTTCTTGTACATCATCATCAAAGGTTTGTACACGAAGCCATCCAGATATACAAACACGGACATATCTTCAACCGTGATGATGGGTACACACTAAGTAATCATTGGAAAAATGTTATTAACCATGCAAAAAAGATTTAACTACACATATTTTGACCATCTTATTTGGCAGGTACTATTCTATTTCGATTTAAAGCTTTCGTGACTGCAGGGATTCATCTTCTTGGTTCTTTCGGTAAAGTCACGTAGAAGGGAAATAATAAATACGACCTGATGACAACTATGGTGTTTTTGATATCCAAGTAAAAAAACCCCCATGGCCTACTATATACAAAGATTTCTAACATAATTGACACGTTTTTTGTTACTGAGTGCAACTGTGAACAACAGTCATATCAGACAGTGCAATTTAATCGGCATAATCGGTTGACGCCACAGAATCGCTAATTAGCGATCCAAAACACCTAAGACACGCCCTCTTTAACGTCACGACACCATATATGGGCAAAGATGTCCACTTCCAAGTGTTTGCTTTTATTTAATGTCCGCTGATATCGTATTACAGCGCCCCCTCGTGGTGGCTATGGTGTTTACGATATCCAAGGCAAAAAACCATGTCCTATACACAAAGACGCTGTTGTCCAAGGATGTCTAACATCCTTTATACGTTTTTTTTGTTATTGGGTACAACTGTGATCAACAGCCATATCAGACATTAGTACAGTCTAATCGGCATAATCATCGGTTCACTGAAACTCAAAAGACCGACTCCTCCGAAACGTGTGGTGACATTCGGAGATGTCCACGTGGTGCTCGGCATTTGAAGGCCCCCGGGAGACCAGAATCGATGAATACACTGACATTGTGTTCGGGAAGACAAGTTCCATATCCAGACATCAGAGTGGCGAAGAACGGAGAATCTGTCCAGGAAGCAATGATCTGGCAACTGTGGAGGGGGGGGGGGAGGCAGGGCCAATCTAATCAAGTTGCGCTACAACCGGCTGCATCACCACCAGGCGGCGGCGATTCTGACCCCAAAATCGATAGAACGAACCCGTTGCATGTGTAGAGGTGGTACGTACCGGGGTGAAGCGAGCCATCACGTAGTCGGTGTCTACATCACTGTCCGCACATGGGTGGCTACACTGACATTCGCATTAGCCCCGCCCCTCGGGGGCAGGGCGGTGCGCGTGAGCGCTCGGGGAGTCGTTGAAGCCAGTGAAGAATGAAGACGGAGCAAGCCAGATAGGACCCTGGGACCCCTAGCCCCGCTGCCCTTATCAGGGCCGGGACTCTGTGTGGCTCAGTGGTGAGACCCTGGGTACTCGCGGCCCGACGTCCTTATCAGGGCCGGGTTTGATGGGCCAGTGGTTGAGACCCGTACCCTGGCTAGGTCGGGTCAGATAGCCTCCTCTAGGAAGTACATAGCCGGAGGACCTGAGAGCGTAGCCGGTGTCAGGCACGCTTAGCCGTAGGCTGTGTTCCTAGGCTGTATAGATGACTGTTCTGTAGGGTGTTATAAATAAATACGTGCTGCCTCCGTCAACTCGTCTCCTGCAGTATTTACACCGTTACACATGAATCAAAATGCAAGAGCGTCGTCTGAGCCTGCGCTTAGCAAGCAACCACGGCGAATGTAAAAAGAAAAAAATAAGTCAGAAGACAAAGGACTGCTGCGATCTGCCTTTTAATGTCGAAACCAAAGCCTCTGATACAATCACCGATACCCGCACCCCATAGCGCCAACGTGACCACGACCGTGACCACCACCGTGCCCGCCACCGTGAGCACCACCGTGAACCCCACCGCCACTGCGACTGCCTTCCAGAGGCATCTGCAGTGTTGACCGTCAATAGCAGTCCATCTTGTCG